TATCAGAGTCTGGTAACATAAGCAATTATGTCAAAATCCTACGAGAGAGAAAGGTATATGTATATAATTTTTCTCTATGTGTATACACCGAAGTATACGCGTAGGTGTTCCGAATTTAAATGGCCAAACTTCGAGAGAGTGTATAGGGAATCGATAAACTAAGAAAACAGTCTTTTAGAGACATGCTTCGTTTTGGAGAAAATCGTAAAAAAAGATAAAACGTATAATTTTCACTTTTGTACTTATTTATTATTTATTTATTTATAATAATAAATAACAGTAGATAAAATTAAGGCTATTTATATTTATTTATTCACATTGTCACTTGCTTAATGCAAATATTATTCAAAATATTGACCTCTTGCAGCAATGCACACATTGCATCTTGTACGGACAGCTAGTGTTGCAGCTAAACTCATCTGGTCAACCTGGCTAATCTCGCTAATCTCTGTCTAGAGACGCCGGGACTCTTCTGTCTAGAAATCGGCGTGCATACTCTCATGCACTGCTTATAAAACATTATCGCTGAAGTCATACACGAAAATAATATTCCATTTTGAAAATACTAATATTCCGAAAATTACGCGTTTTATCTTTCTTTGTGGTTATCAAAATAAAGCAAAAAACAAGCGTATTTCTAAAGGACTTTTTTCCTTATAGTCTATCGATCCTCCACACTCTACAGGCTCCCGAAGTTTGGCCATTTAAATTCGGGACACCCTGTATACTATCTCACTCTTGTACTATCTCGCTCTAACTTTTTTTAGTAATTGAGATTATAGAGCGAGACACTGTAAGTTTGAATGAGATATTATTAGGTGTTGAACTTAATTCCTGCCGTTTTTCGTCGCCTCCAAAATTGATTTGTTTCGAAGGGAAATATCTTAATCAAAGTATTATTAATAAAGTATTATTAATTAGTAATAAAGTAGAAAATGGAGGAAATTACTTTGATTAAGGTATTCATTCATCTTCCCTTCGAAACAAATCAACTTTGGAGACGAAAAACGGCAGGAATTAAGTTCAACACCTAATATATATACAGGGAGAAATTATACCTTCCTCTCTCATAGGATTTTGACAAAATCTCTCGTGACTAGACTCTGATAATGGGGTCTTTAAATAAAATCGTACTTTCCGTGTACTAACCGATCACGTCGGCGACGCTGATATGAAGTGGCGAAGACAATGGGGCGAGAGATGCGAGAAAGCGGCGACTAATAGTTCAATTAACTTGAGCCTACCGGAGCAGTATATGAATATATTCGAGCTGGCACGAGACGGGAGACATTTACGCCAATGAATACGCGCGTTATACATATGTATCTCGACCACAGGATCGTCAGAAGATCCATTTGCGCGTCACCAAGTCGATCTGCAAACGCATTCTTATCGCGTGCGACTGATAGACGATGGCATGCCAAATACGAACGCGTCATAGACGCAGATACAAGGCTATTCGAGACGTGGTCGTAAAAATCGTATCGGAGAGCTGCAATAATGTACGTAATACGAGCAGATTCTTCGCGAGAGGAATCTTTGTAGAAGGAACTCGGTTGAAACGGAGGCGCTCGGGTTTGGAATTAAAATCTGATTTTATGAGCAGCAATATAAATATATATAAGCGTTATAAAGTAAAATATCGTATCGTATTAAATAAAATTACAGTATAATGTAACATAATTCACGGAAGAAATGATTTTCCGGAAATATCTAAAAATGTAGGTAGATACAGACTTGAAAATAATTTTGTTGAACCATCCAAATAAATGTAGGAAACTGAAGCATGATGATCAATGATGCAAAAAGGTTTGACATTCGAGTAATCAATTTGAGTGTCTTAAATAATTATTGATAGTCCAACAAAATTATTTTCAAATCTATATTCAGTTAAATTTTTATATATTTCAGTAAAATCGTTCTTTCCATGTATGGCATTAAAATTCTCTTGAAACGAGTGCATAAAATGACGGTATTCCATGCTTTCCCTCAAACTGGTATACATGTCACCGTAATTTATGCATGTTTCCCGTCACGCGTGAAAAGTAACGTGCACAGACGTTACAAGCGCCGAAATTAAATCGCGATGATCGATACGGCATTTTATATTGACGTATATTAAATACACCATTCAATTATAAGCAATTGATAGCAGTGTGCGCTTGATAAATGTGCACTGCCATTTCAAAACCGCGCCGCCCGGTTTCTGTGTAGAAAAAAATCGGAGATAAAAATCCGCTAAATAAATTTACGTAGCTTCGTCGGGATGTTATGTGTCAGAAATTTTTCTTCTTTTTTTTTTTGCAGCGGTAGCAGGCTTTCCGCTTTTAACGCATACTTTTTGGACACGTGTCGCATATGTCACAGGTATCTCTTCAATTCAAAAGGCTAACGGCCGATTTCTCCTTCGAACAATTCGGAGTAGAATCCGCATATTTCCGACGTCTCCAACGTATCCGACCGCAAAGTTCAATGATTAATTCAGACCTCGCGCGGCGAAGGCGAATCAATATTCGTCAACAGCAACAGCTGATCGTTTGACGGACAAAAATATCGCATCGTACCCAACTGTATCGCGCCGATCGCAAATTATCAGGCACCACAAAAGCGGACAGAGTCGTGAGGTTTAAGACGAGCGTATCGGCGATATCGCAAAGGCGGACAAAAAGTGGAGCGGCCGCTAACTAAACGATATTTCGCTCCAGAAAAAAAAAGAGAGACGGAGAGAAAGAGGAGAGAGAGAGAGAGAGAGAGAGAGAGAAAACGAGAAAGAAGAGGACAAGCGGCTAGTGCTCCAGAAGTGCCGTTCTCCAAAAACGTGTGTGTGGACACACGCGGGTGAGATTGCGACACACGCAACCATGGGCAGTAAATAACATGCGTGTTGAAAGCAAGGTGCCTCGATTGGCCACGGTTCTGGACGACAGGTTACTCACGTTGATGCTGCAGCGTCAGCATAGCGGCGCTTTCGGGAGGAAGAGGGACGTGTGCGATCCTCGCGCGAGGACGGCACCGCGAGGAGGAGCGCGCATTCGCGTCCGGGTATCTCCCGGCCGACGATCTCCTCGGGAATCGGCTGCGGTTGCGGCTGCGGCGATGATCACAACCACGGTGAACGCGCGTTCAGTGCGTATCCGGCATCTCCGCGGGCCTCCTCGATCGCACTCGTGTACGCGAGAACCCCACCGTAGAAGGATCTCGCAAAACGCCGACAATACTCCCGCGCGTACCGAGCCAAATGTAAGCGGATGATACGACGGAATTCGTCGCTCGGCTCGACGCTCGACTCGACCTCGCGGGTCCCGCGACTTGGCTGGCTCTGCCTCCGCTCCCCGACTCCGTTTGCTCCGTTCTCGTCGATCCACGACCGCTCGAACGCGGACGGCTCATACGGCCGAACGAAGAAACGACAGCGCTCGTCGCGACGGACTGGAGTCTGGAGCGGGGAGCTCTGGAGGGGGAACGTATATATACTTGAGGAACGTATGCGTGCATGCGCGATATGTCCCCCCGCCAAGAGTTAACCGCCGCGACAGCGCCTCTACCAGCTTCGACGACGACCGTTGGAAGATTACGAGTTACGAGGTTTGGTTTGGCCGGTTTGTTTGGCCCGTTTGACTGCGTTCAGAAATTTCACCCAAGTGCACCCAGTTGCGGAATTCTTTAAACGTTTTATCGACGTTTTATCAGGTTCACTGAACGTGCCTATTGATACCTGCGGGATTCTCTAACCGTCTTATCGATGATTGTCGTTATCGTTAACTACAGCCAGTGACAGGACAATCCTGGAAGAAAGCGCGGTTGTCATTGGCTGTCGTTAGTTAACGAAAGCGACAATTATCGATAAAACGTTTAAAGAATCCCGCAACTGATAGCGTTTTCGATTGATTGTGAGAGGATTTGAATCCGATCTGGGTTGGTAGAGCATGTGACATCATTAATCCAACCCGTCAGTTCAAATCTACTGCAGTCGAAAATGCAATGAGAGAACGCTCATTGTTATTAATGTATTTTTTTAGATCTAAACGTCTGATTGGATGATGTAGAACAATACACCAATAACAATAAGCACTCACTTGACTGTGAGTTCATTGTACTCGTTCAATAGGCGCATTCAGCCATCAGCGGACTCAACAATTGAACGAGTGCTCGCTGCTATTGGTGTATTCTTCTAGATCGTCCAATCAGACGGTTAGATCTAGAAGAATACATCAACAGCAGCAAGCGCTCACTCAATTGTTGAGCCTGCTGAACGCGTCCGTTGGCCAAAGAAAAAGCAGCTTTACAAAACTAGGGGCGTTCGGCAATGCAAGGGTGGGATTTCATTTGTGCGTTTTTGTCGTACGACAAATGTGTGCAGGATAGAGAGGTCCTCGGATCTCTCTATCCTATAGCCAATCAACAGGCTTGAAAAATTTGTCGTACGACAAAAACGCACTTCTAATTTAATTAAAGAATCACTAAGTGCTAACCGATTAAGAGAAAGGTACTCCATACGACCATGAGTACCATATGACGGGTCATATGGTAGAGTAAACGGGTCATGAGTGGTCATATGGTCTTGCCCGTAGTTCCTCATTGGATCTAAATGTATAAACCAATCATATTGAAGAATTTTACAACAGTTGCAAAACTGCTTTCTCTGCTGAACGCAGCTCATCATTTTTAATGTCAGAACAGTTTACTTGATCAAAATTGCCGCTTGATATTAATCGTCAATTTTGACCACATGGTCTGCTTTTATGCTAAAAATGAGCGTCGAGCGATTGTACCTAGTTATCTTTGTTCAAATTTGATGAACAACAAAGATAAAATGATCGCGGTTCTTTAAGTCTATTTTTTGAACTAAACATTTAGTATATGCTTTTTATAAAGTGAAATAAATATATGTTTAATGTTGGCAAAAAGCAAGAAAAAAATTAAAGTTCCAGTGCAGCAATAAAAAAACAAACTCTGTTCTTTGTCACTGGACTCAAATAGAACGCAGTCGAGTGCTCATTTCTACTAATAGATTGACTTTAATCATGCTTTAACTTACCTTTTATCTTCTTCTAGTTCTAAAAATTAGAAATGAATAAAAATAAACTGATTATGAGATTAAAGTTTTACCTACATTAGTAGGAAAGAGTATAGGCCAGTCCCCTCGCTTCGCATTGTGCGTTTGGACAAGGCCGGTGAACACGGCATTATATCAGTGTCATGTCAATTTACGACATATCGTAACATCCTTGATGTCTAAGTGTTTCTACTTTTAATTAAATGTTTAATTATCCGCTATCACAGAACTGCGACTACATTGATGTCTATATTCTCGGAGGATTATTTTTTTATTTGGAACAATGATTTGTTTAACTGAATCGTGTGTATCTCGAAATCTAGACATTAGTAACAATATGAAAAATGAAGTTTAAATTCTTATCTAGCTATCTTCACAGATATTAGACACAATGTTTACCATGTGCTACTCTTGACTGCTGCAAAGATTACTATTACTCTATCTGCTGGAAAGTCAACACGCATTTCCTGACAAAGTGTAATATATTTTGTATGGTGAAACACAATACTTTTCGAAATGGATAACGATACTCCCGTTATATATGGACTTGAATTCCAAGTACGAATCTATTATAAATTATGAATTTTACATAAATCAGTGTATCTTTTTATGTGTATTTATTTTATATTATATTTCATGCTGTCGCCAAGTAATATTGTCTATTATTTGCTATTGCTATTTAAATATTACTTATTGTGTATAGTTATTTAAATGTAGAAATTTTAAATTATATTTGAAAAAAATCATAATGCTGTTTTATGTTTTAGACTAGAGCACTGTCAGCTCAAACAGCTGAGACAGATATTGTAAGATTCTTGGTAGGAACGCAATCCTTAAAATTCAGTAACAACCAGATTCACTTAGTGGAACTTAATGAGGAAACAGGAAATTTAAAGACTCAAGTGTTCCAGCATCCAATAGGAGAAATTTGGTCTTTACAGGCTTCTCCAACTGAACCTGATATATTTATTACATGTTACAATAGTTTAAGTGGTAAATAAGTCTTATATTACATATTTAATTTCTTAAAGTAACATTTTATCATTCAAATTGAAATCAATTGTGAATTTATCATTATTAATTTTAATAATTAATAGTTATATTAATTCTAGTATTAATAATTATATTTAATATTTTATTATTAATAATTATATTAATAATTACATTTTATGACATTAAATATGTCTTTTAATGCTTCAAAGAACTTATTTTTCTAGAGGAAGGTATCTGTCGGATGAAAGGAGCAGTCTGGAAATTTCCTGAGATAAAAGAGTACACTAACGATATTCTGCAGCTCAATAAATTAGCTGATATTGATACGACTCCATACGGTACTGATCTCAAAACTATTGCCTATCACCCTATGGATAGCAAGAAAGCAGTGTCAGTAGTAGATAATAATTTTGTTTTGTGGGATCTAACTGAAGGACCTCGGGTATATTGATCTCTTATTCTTTTAAAAATTTGAAATTACTAACATTATACATCAAATTTATCCCTGTTATTTTTAAAACTGATCTTTTAATCATTTTTCTATACATTCAGGTTACAGTGGCGGGCACTTTAGCAGGCAAGGGTCAGCCACGATTTACGAATGGTAAATGGAATCCGCATAATGGTGCTAATCAGTTTGTAACCCTGAATGACAACAATGTTCGTGGATGGGATTTTAGAAGTCCGGCCAATGCCGCTTGGTCTATTTTATCTGCACATTCGCAAATTATTAGGTAATAATGATATCATAAAGATTGATAGAATTGGATTCATATCATTTTCATCGTGTAACTCATTTCTCAGGGATTTAGATTTCAATGCAAATCGTCAGTATTTTTTATCTACTTGCGGTGATGATGGATACATGAAGTTCTGGGATATTCGGTTACCCACAGAACCAGTGTTGTCACGTATGGAACATTCACACTGGGTGTGGAACATAAGGATTAACCGTTTTCACGATCAACTCGTTTTAACGTCTAGCAGTGACTCCAGAGTGATATTATGCAGTATTGCGTCCATATCGTCTGAACCGTTCGGTCATTTGGTGTCAGACGAGCCTTCGCAAAGCGAAGAATCTTATGGAAAAAAGAAGTAAATAAATATATCATGAAGTATAATTTCTTAAGCAATTCATGCATAAAGTATAACATTTTATGTTTACAATATTTTAGATTAGAAGACGGTCTAGTAGGAAGATACGAGGAGCACGAAGACAGTGTGTATGCAGTAGAATGGTCGTCTGCTGATCCTTGGACTTTCGCGTCTCTCAGTTACGACGGTAGATTAGTTCTGAATAAAGTACCGCGTAAATATAAATATCAAATACTTCTTTAAATATGTAATATATTTTGCGAAAAATAATATTATACACACCTTATATTATTTTATTATAAATTTAATTTTTCTATGAATGATACATATACAAAAAAATATGAAGTATACATAGTATATAAATGTATACATAATATCAAACATAATTTTATAATTAATAATATGTATATATACATGTATATATGTACAAATAGAATATGTATATTCTATTTAGAATCGTTCTGATATCTTGCTAGCTATATTCCTTAATTGTCCATAAACCTTGGAAGGAGGACTGCCCAAGATTAAATTACATATTGCCCTACGAGCTAGTTGTATGTTCTGGTAAGAACCAAGGATGTGTATCTTGGAATCGGCTATCACAATCCTGGTTTTCGTTACGTTCTCGATGGTAAACTTTGTTCTTCCACCTTTGCCCGCTAATCTTCCAATTGCCCTAGACTGGTGATCCCCTTTCATTTGTTGCTTGACGTCTTGTATCTCAAAAGATTCTACAAAGAGATCATCCAGACGTAACAAAGCCAAAGCGTCCTCCACCTCGAATCCACAGATAAACGCTTTTACGAAGTCTGCCGCTTTTTGGAGGTACGAAATATCCGGTGTTTCTGGTGCCGTTCTAATTTCTACAGTTCTGGTCTTCACATTGAAACGTACTTGCAATTTCAGATGTTCAGTGATGGGTGTAAATATTTTTATCCAGTTTTCCTTCAAAGGTGAATATCTGTGTGCTGGTACTGATATCTAGAATCACATTTGTTTAAATTTAAGTTTACATGTAAGTTATTTTTCATTATATTTAATAAAGACAATTTTTGTTCTTCTAAAAAATAACTTGTAAAAATAATTTTGTTAAAAAAGATTGCTTTAAAGAACATGTCTTTTTTTTTACCTTATTATTTTTGGCTGCGTTCAGCAAAAAAAAGCAGCTTTGCAACTGTTGTAAAATTCTTGAATATGATTGGTTTGTACATTTAGATCCAGTGAGAAACTAAAGGCAAGACTAATCGTATTAATGAATTTTACAACAGTTGCAAAGCTGCTTTTTCAGTTGAGTGCAGCCATTGATTTTTGCATTTAATTCTTTGCTGGATCTAACTGTAGAAACCAATCATATTAAAGAATCACTAAGCGTTAACTAATTAGTTTTGTGTGCTGAATGCAGTTATTATATATTACATTTTATTGCATATCATATTACCTTTCTTTGTTCTCCGCCTTGCACATTCTTGGCTTTCTTTTTAGCTGAATGCTGTTTTACTTTTCCCTTTATTCCGTTAACTATCTCTACCTATGGGGCAAGAAATCTTTATTATTTTTATTAGTGAATACTTTATATACAAGTGTAAAAGCAAAACGTCAACCAACTGTTATGTCATTTATACAATTGACAGTGATCAACAGAAAAAGCAGTTTTGCACATCACTATTATAAAATTTTTCAATATGATTGATTCTTATCCTTAATTTTTCATAATTAATCATTACTGATGGTTTTGTAGTAACTTACCATTACATTAAAGTTACCATTACAAAACTATCAATGATTAGTCACAGTTTAAAAAAATACATTTTTATATTATCACCAAGTGAGGTTAAGTCTAAAAAACCATGAGCCTAAGTAAGGTTAATCACGTGTTAACTAGAAAATGAAAAACCATCTCTTAACAACAATTTGTTATCGTTATTTTATCATATATAATAATACATGTGCAACAACAATATAAAGATACCGACAATGTTATTAATAATTACAGAATACAGACACATAATTGATGTAAAATCGTTGATAATGTAACTGTGCACATGGGAACAATTTTATTTCCATAAATGGAAATTTCAGCAATATTATAGCAACGTTGCAATGTCGCTGAAATATTGCTCGAATGTTTCATACTATCTCGAGTATTTGGGTTTGTCATGTGTTCTTAATCTTATGATATAACGACAAAAATAAATTATAAAATCATGAGACATAATTTTAAAAAGGCTCCTTTTACAAAATATAGTTATTTCTTGATCAAAGTTGTCTTCAATTTCAGAACAATATTCGTTGTTTAACAAAATACCTCCATGCAATCATCGTTGGCTTGACGTTTTTTGGCTGTTTTCCCCATTTCAATCTCTTGCTGGTGCTGATGTTGATCCGTAGTACTTATTTCTTCTTTGATTTTCTTTCTCTTCTACTGATATTTAAATATATTTTTCAAGAATAGTCCGTCCTCTCTTGTCGCATATATTCTCACCAATTCTCACGTGGACGGTGGAACGACGATTTCAGAAATGGCAGATAAAGATACCTTTACATGACAGCGTCGAGCATCGTGAACGCGTTATTCGTCAATTTGATCACGTGACCTGTTTTTAGCGGATAGTAAGCTCACATGCTCGATACTCAACGCTTCCATGTAATGGCACTTTGAAGGGGTCCGTACACGAAAATGTTCCAAAATTTACTGCCAGTACTGAAAATCTATGTGCACGTAACGTAAATTGTATACCATTTTCAGTGCTGGCAATAAATTTGGGACACAGCCCGTAAGTCCAGATCTACAATAGGTGATTTAAGCTTTAAGTCGTAAGAAATTGATTAATTACAATCGAATCCGAGGGGAATAATCGATTGTGATTCGCCCATTTCTTAGTCCGGATCTACAATAGGGTTTTAAGCCTTAAGCTATAAAAAATGGGCGAATCACAGTCGCTTATTCTTCTCGGATTCGACTGTAATTGGTCAATTTCTTACGGCTTAAGGCTTAAATCACTTATTGTAGATCCAGACTAACACTTTAGTCAACTTTAAGGGCCATTCCACACAAACCTGTATTGCCACATAAACATCATAAAGAAAATCATCCAATATCGTAGTTTACGTTTGTCTTTATGACTGAAATGTGATTGGATAATTTTCTTTATGCATATGGTACACTTATGCAAGAGTGTATGCTGCGGCCTTAAGCCTATCGCACATAAAATGCATAATAGAGCATAAACATAACATAAGACCGCTGGACCAATGAGCATCCAGCATTAAGTCGCCATATTGATTTACATAAGATGTTCATTGGTCGAGCGGCTCTGCAAGTTGTGTGGAATGGCCTTAACACTCAATATCTCATTTCGCAGAGTAGTCCCGGACCTTTTTTTGCCAGATTCTTTTATTTTACACAAAAACGCGTCGAATGAGCCTAATTTCATCGAAATCGGAGTTTAGTAAGCTGTTCTGAAGAATTACCGATTGAAATTCTTATTCTCTATTCCCTGTTTCTTATTCCTTTCATTATGCGCAGTCCCTTAATGCCCATTTCCACCAATGTAATTAACTTTAATCTCAGTTCAACTTACTACTCGTCTTTTTTTAGTTTTAAAGATTAGATAAAGACAAAAAGAGTAAGTTGAACCGAGATTAAAGTTAATTTACGTTAGTGAAAATGGACATAAGAGAATTAGCTAATCAAAATGTTTTTATTCCCTGAAGTGGGAGGAAAGAAAGGATTCTGATTGATTGAATCGCTTATGCACTACATGTTATGAGTTGCAAAAGTCTGTGCTGCTACCATAAAGTTCAATTCAAGGGAATATTTATTGTAGAAAGCCCATAAGAATTTTAACCTATTAGAAACCATGTACTGTGGAATATACAGTTTCTGATAGGTTGAAATTCTTGTTCTTTGTTTCCTATTCCTTGATTGTGTGTGCGCGGCCCCTAATAAATGCACACACGAATACGTCAAATACCTCGTAATAGCGGAGGTATCTCTTTCGCTCAACTTGTCTTTTTCACACTTTCTCGCTTTATTGCTGTGCCCAGCTGTTTTGTTACGTCTTTTATTTATACTTTATACCACTATTAATGGAAAAAAAGATAGTTCACTTACAATTAGCCGACACGTAGGAAGTTTCAATAGGAACAAATTTTCGTTATAAAGTTATATCGTGCACATAATCGAGAAGATAATTATAATTTAACATTTATGTAGAAATTATTTTCGCAAACTTTTTATGCTGACACAATCGTTGCTAGAATAGTTTTTGGGACAACACCTAAATTTTATAAAAAATATATTACGCGAATAATCATTACGTTTTTGTTAATAGAATTGCAAAATAGAGACTGAATTCATCGATTCTCGATAACATCTGATCTGAAAGGTTAACAGGTCCGTACGTAGATTATCCGCATGAATAATTCTTGTGATACGTACTTGTACAAAGGATTTGCATTTCGCAAAATTATTCCATTTCAATATATGTAACATGTTTTTCAATTATAAAAAATCGTACGAGATGCAAAGATCTTATCAATACGTCTTCTCCTTTGATCGGATGTCATCGTCCAAGAGAAGTGGCTGACATATGGAATGGATATAAACATATGACATTACTCTGTATGTGAATAAAAATTGATACAGACAAAAAAAATGCGTTGTCTTAATGCAATTTTCATATGAAGCCCGAAAATGAGAGGATTCATTTATGATTCGTGTTTTTATTTTGCGCGTTGCAAATATAAAACATGATAAATTACAATTAAAAAAATATTTCACGCGAAGAAATAAAATTGAATTTTTATATTATACCGAATAATAAGTTTAATAACAAACAAATAACTTGCTATCATCTCATAGTAAATCGTGATTGCTTTTATAATTTTTTAACGCGGCAATTATGTTTTCGACAGATCATCTGGAAATGTTGATTAAATAAACGCTGCATAAACAAGCTGCGATGTATAATCACATTTGAAGATAAAATAAAAATAATAATGTAAAAAATTACATATAAATTATGCTTGCGTTAGATATAGCACATAACAATTAGAACGTGGCGAATCGCTCGATGAAAATGGGTAGAATACAATATAAAACAAGCAAACGCATCGTTTTTTTATAACACATTTTTCATTGTCTTATAAGTCTATGGTAATTAATAATTAATAACAAGAAAAAAACCTTTTTCATCAATGTGTCTACAATAATTATTAAAAGATACAATTAGCAAATTACTATGTTGTGTATTCACTTTGTGTAATAATAGGTAA